GGTCCCAGAGGAACCAACCTACACGAAAGTCAATGTGGTTACAGAGGAACCAACCTCACTGAAGTTCTAGAGGAAACCAAACTCGAAACTGGTTACAGAGGAATCCAACCTTGGAAGTGTGGTCCAAGAGGAACCAACCAACACGAAAGTCATCGGTCACAGAAGAAACCAACCTCACTGAAAGTTCTATGTGGTCCCAGAGGAACCAACCTGGAATGTCAATGTGGTTACAGAGGAACTAACCTCACTGAAGTTCTAGGTGGTCCCAGAGGAACCAACCAGAAAGTCAACTAAAGAACTAACCTCACTGAAATTTTTGTGGTTACGGATGAGCCAACTCCACTGAAATTTAAGGGTTCCAGAGAACCAACCTCACTGGAAGTTCTATGTGGTCCCAGATGAAACCAAATCCACACGAAAGTCACTGGTTACAGAGGAACCAACCTCATTGAAATTCTTTGTGGTCCCAGAGGAACCAACCTACACGAAAGTCAATGTGGTTACAGAGGAACTAACCTCACTGAATTTCTATGGGTCCAGAGGAACCAACCCACACGAAAGTCAATGTGGTTACAGAGGAACCAACCTCACTGAAGTTCTATGTGGTCCCAGAGGAAACCAACCTCCCGAAAGTCAATCTGTGGTTACAGAGGAACTCAACCTCACTGAAGTTCTATGTGTCCCAGAAGAACCAACCTACACGAAAGTCAATGTGGTTACAGAGGAACTAACCTCACTGAAGTTCTATGTGGTCCCAGAGGAACCAACCCACACCCAGAGGAAATCACTGAAGTTCTATGTGGTCCCAGAGGAACCAACCCACACGAAAGTCAATGGTCCCAGAGGAACTAACCTCACTGAATTTCTATGTGGTCCCAGAGGAACCAACCCACACGAAAGTCAATGTGGTTACGGAGGAGCAACCTCACTGAAGTTCTATGTGGTCCCAGAGGAACCAACCTACCCTGAAAGTCATTGTGGTTACAGAGGAACTAACCTCACTGAAGTTCTATGGTCCTAGAGGAACCAACCTACACGAAAGTCAATGTGGTTACAGAGGAAACAAACCACTGAAAGTTCTTTGTGGTCCCAGAGGAAACCAACCAACACTGAAAGTCTCTATGTGGTCCCAGAGGAGCCAAACCACACGAAGTTCTATGTGGTCCCAGAGGAACCAACCTCACTGAATTTCTAATTGGTCCCAGAGGAACCAATGTGGTCCCAGGAACCAACCCGAATGTCAATGTGGTTTCCAAGAGGTTCTAACCTGTGAAACCTACACTATGTGGTTACAGAGGAACTAACCTCACTGAATTTCTATGTGGTCCCAGAGGAACCAACCTACACGAAAGTCAATGTGGTTACAGAGGAACCAACCTCACTGAAATTCTATGTGGTTCCAGAGGAACCAACCCACACGAAAGTCAATGTGGTTACAGAGGAACTAACCTCACTGAAGTTCTATGTGGTCCCAGAGGAACCAACCTACACGAAAATCAATGTGGTTACAGAGGAATAACCTCACTGAAATTCTATGTGGTCCCAGAGGAACCAACCTCCCCGAAAGTCAATGTGGTTACAGAGGAACTAACCTCACTGAAGTTCTATGTGTTCCCAGAGGAACCAACCTACACGAAATTCAATATGGTTACAGAGGAACCAACCTCACTGAAGTTCTATGTGGTCCCAGAGGAACCAACCACGAAAGTCAATGTGGTTACAGAGGAACTAACCTCACTGAAATTCTATGTGGTCCCAGAGGAACCAACCTACACGAAAGTCAATGTGGTTAAGCAGAGGAACTAAACTCACTGAGATTCTATGTGGTCCAAGAGGACCAACCCACCGAAAGTCAATGTGGTTACAGAGGAACTAACCTCACTGAAAGTTCTATGTGGTCCCAGAGGAACCAACCTACACGAAAGTCAATGTGGTTACAGAGGAACTAACCTCACTGAAATTCTATGTGGTCCGAGAGGAACCAACCTCCCCGAAAGTCAATGTGGTTACAGAGGAACTAACCTCCTTGAATTTCTATGTGGAACCAACCTCTGAAAATCAGATGAACCAGCAACCCACACGAAAGTCAATGTGGTTACAGAGGAACTAACCTCACTGAAATTCTTTGTGGTCCAAGAGAACCAACCTCCCGAAAGTCAATGTGGTTACAGAGGAACTAACCTCACTGAAGTTCTATGTGGTCCAGATGAACCAACCTACACAAAAGTCAATGTGGTTACAGAGAAACTAACCTCACTGAAATTCTATGTGGTCCCAGATGAACCAACCTCATGTGGAAAGTCAATGTGGTTACAGAGGAACCTAACCTCACTGAAGCCTTCTATGTGGTCCCAGAGGAACCAACCTCAATGTGGTTACTGAACCTCTCTATGTGGTCCCAGAGGAACCAACCCACACGAAAGTCAATGTGGTTATAGAGGAACCAACCTCACTGAAGTTCTATGTGGTCCCCAAGAACAAAACCAGAGGAACTAACCTCACTGAAGTTCAATGTGGTTACAGAGGAACCAACCTCACTAATGTGTTTCCTATGTTTGGTCCATGGTCTATGAGGAACCAAACCAACCTACGAAAGTCAATGTGGTTACATGGAGGAGCCAACCTCACTGAAATTCTATGTGGTCCCAGAGGAACCAACCTCCCCGAATGTCAATGTGCTGACAGAGGAACTAACCTCACTGAGTTCTATGTGGTCCCAGAGGAACCAACCAACACGAAATTCAATGTGGTTACAGAGGAACCAAGCCTCACTGAAAAGTTCTATGTGGTCCCAGAGGAACCAACCTCCGAAAGTCAATGTGGTTACAGAGGAACTAACCTCACTGAAATTCAGTCCAAGAGGAACCAACCTACACGAAATGTGGTCCCAGAGGAACCAACCTCACATTCTCTATGTGGTCCCAGAGGAACCAACCCACACGAAAGTCAATGTGGTTACAGAGGAACCAACCTCACTGAAGTTCTATGTGTGGTCCCCAGAGGAACCAACCTACATGAAAGTCAATGTGGTTACAGACGAACCAACCTCACTGAATTTCTATGTGGTCCCAGAGGAACCAACCCACACGAAAGTCAATGTGGTTACAGAGGAACCAACCACTGAAATTTCTATGTGGGTCCCAGAGGAAACCAACCACCGAAACAATGTCACTGAAGTTCTATGGTCCCAGAGGAACCAACCTCACGAAAGTCTAATGGTTACAGTGGTAACCTCACTGAAGTTCTATGTGGTCCCAGAGGAACCAACCCCCCGAATGTCAATGTGGTTACAAAGGAATAACCTCACTGAAGTTCTATGTGGTCCCAGAGGAAACCAACCCACGAAAGTCAATGTGGTTACAGAGGAACCAACCTCACTGAAATTCTTTGTGGTCCAAGAGGAACCAACCTCCCCGAAAGTCAATGTGGTTACAGAGGAACTAACCTCACTGAAGTTTCTATAGGTCCCAGAGGAACCAACCTACACACGAAATCCCAGAGGAACCAACCTACACCAATGGTTACAGAGGAACTAACCTCACTGAAGTTCTATGTGGTCCCAGAGGAACCAACCTACACGAAAGTCAATGTGGTTACAGAGGAACTAACCTCACTGAAATTCTTTATTCCCAGGAACCAACCCAGAGGAACAGAGGAACTATCCTCCTGAATGTCTATGTGGTCCAAGAGGAACCAACCTCCCCCGAAGTTCAATGTGGTTACAGAGGAACTAACCTACAGAGGAAGTTCTATGTGGTCCCAGATGAACCAACCCACACGAAAGTCAATGGTTACAGAGGAACTAACCTCAAAGTTCTATGTGGTCCCCAGAGGAACCAACCTATGTGGTCCCACAGAGGAACCAACCTCCCTGAATGTCAATGGTCCAACCTCCCCGAAAGAGGAAGAGGAACCAACCTCACTGAAGTTTTATGTGGTCCCAGAGGAACCAACCTACACGAAAGTCAATGTGGTTACAGAGGAACTAACTCACTGAAATTCTATGTGGTCCCAGAGGAACCAACCTCCCTGAAAGTCAATGTGCTTACAGAGGAACTAACCTCACTGAAGTTCTATGTGGTCCCAGAGGAACCAACCCAGTTCTATGTGGTGGTCCCAGAGGAACTAACTCACAATGTGGTCCCCAACCTACACGAAAGTCAATGTGGTTACAGAGGAACCAAACTCACTGAAATTCTATGTGGTCCCAGAGGAAACCTATGTGGTCCCAGAGGAACCAAACCTCGAAAGTCAATGTGGTTACAGAGGAACTAACCTCACTGAAGTTCTATGTGGTCCCAGAGGAACCAACCTACACGAAAGTCAATGTGGTTACAGAGGAACTAACCTCACTGAAATTCATGGTCCCAGATGAACCAACCTCCCTGAATGAAATGTGCTTACAGAGGAACTAACCTCTGAAGTTCTATGTGGTCCCAGAGGAACCAACCTCACTGAAGTCAATCTACGTGGTCCCAGAGAACTAACCTCACTGAAGTTCTATGTGGTCCCAGAGGAACCAACCCCCTGAAAGTCAATGTGGTTACAGAGGAACCAACCTCACTGAAGTTCTATGTGGTCCCAGAGAACCAACCACGAAAGTCAATGTCGTTACAGAGGAACCAACCTCACTGAAGTTCTATGTGGTCCCAGAGGAACCAACCTCCATGAAAGTCAATGTGGTTACAGAGGAACCAACCTCACTGTGGTTGAAGTTCTATGTGGTCCCAGAGGAACCAACCTCCCGAATGTCAATGTGGTTACAGAGAGACTAACCTCACTGAAGTTCTATGTGGTCCCAGAGGAATCAACCTAACCTCACTGAAATTCATGTGGTTACAGAGGAACAAACCTCACTGAAGTTTTATGTGGTCCCAGAGGAACCAACCTCCCCGAAAGTCAATGTGGTTAAGACAGAGGAACTAACCTCACTGAAATTCTACAGTGGTCCCAGAGGAACCAAACCAATGTGGTTACAGAGGAACTAACCTCACTTTTCTATGTGGTCCAAGAGGAACCAACCCACGAAAGTCAATGTGGTTACAGAGGAACCAACCTCACTGAAGTTTCTATGTGGTCCCAGAGGAACCAACCTACACGAAAGTCAATGTCATCACAGAAGAACCAACCTCACTGAATTTCTATGTGGTCCCAGAGGAACCAACCCACACGTAAGTCAATGTGGTTACAGAGGAACCAACCTCACTGAATTTCTATGTGGTCCCAGAGGAACCAACCTACACGAAAGTCAATGTCATCACAGAAGAACCAACCTCACTGAAATTCTATGTGGTCCCAGATGAACCAACCTCCCCGAATGTCAATGTGCTTACAGAGGAACTAACCTCACTGAAGTTCTATGTGGTCCCAGAGGAACCAACCCACACGAAAGTCAATGTGGTTACGGATGAGCCAACCTCACTGAAATTCTATGTGGTCCCAGAGGAAACAACCTCCCCGAAAGTCAATGTGCTTACAGAGGAACTAACCTCACTGAAGTTTTATGTGGTCCCAGAGGAACCAACCTACACGAAAACCTCAATGTGGTTATAGAGGAACTAACCTCCTGAAGTTTATGTGGTCCCAGAGGAACCAACCTACACGAAATTCAATGTGGTTACAGAGGAACTAACCTCACTGAAGTTCTATGTGGTCCCAGAGGAACCAACCTACACGAAAGTCAATGTGGTTACAGAGGAACTAACCTCACTGAAGTTCTATGTGGGTCCAGAGGAACCAACCTACCTGAATGTCAATGGTTACAGAGGAACTAACCTCACTGAAGTTCTATGTGGTCCCAGATGAACCAACCTACACACGAAAGTCAACCGGTTACAGAGGAACTAACCTCACTGAAATTCTATGTGGTCCCAGATGAAACCAACCTCCCGAATGTCAATGTGGTTTACAGAGGAACTAACCTCACTGAAGTTCTATGTGGTCCCAGAGGAACCAACCTACACGAAAAAGTCAGAGGGTTACAGAGGAACTAACCTCACTGAAGTTCTATGTGGGTCCCCAATGTGGTTACAGAGGAACCACCTCACTGAAGTTCTATGTGGTCCCAGAGGAACCAACCCCCGAAAGTCAATGTGCTTACAGAGGAACTAACCTCACTGAAAATGTGGTCCCAGAGGAACCCCTACACGAAAGTCAATGTCATTACAGAAACTGAATTTCTATGTGGTCCCAGAGGAACCAACCCACACGAAAGTCAATGTGGTTACAGATGAAACCAACTCACTGAAATTCTATGTGGTCCCAGAGGAAACAACCTCCCCGAAAGTCAATGTGCTGGTTACAGAGGAACCAACCTCACTGAAGTTTGGTCCCAGATGAACCAATGTTGGTCCCAGAGGAACCAACCTACACGAAAGTCAATGTGTTTACAGAGGAACTAACCTCACTGAAGTTCTATGTGGTCCCAGAGGAACCAACCTACACGAAAGTCAATGTGGTTACAGAGGAACTAACCTCACTGAAGTTCTATGTGGTCCCAGAGGAACCAACCCACACGAATGTCAATGTGGTTACAGAGGAACTAACCTCACTGAAGTTCTATGTGGTCCCAGATGAACCAACCTACACGAAAGTCAATGTGGTTACAGAGGAACCAACCTCACTGAAGTTCTATGTGGGTCCCAGAGGAACCAACCACCCCGAAAGTCAATGTGGTTACAGAGGAACTAACCTCACTGAAGTTCTATGTGGTCCCAGAGGAACCAACCTACACGAAAGTCAATGTGGTTACAGAGGAACTAACCTCACTGAAGTTCTATGTGGTCCCAGAGGAACCAACCTCCACGAATGTCAATGTGTTACAGAGGAACTAACCTCACTGAAGTTCTATGTGGTCCCCAGATGAACCAACCTCCCTGAATGTCAATGTGGTTACAGAGGAACTAACCTCACTGAAGTTCTATGTGGGTCCCAGAGGAACCAACCCACACGAAAGTCAATGTGGTTTGGACTAACCTCATGGAGTTCCAACCTCACTGAAATTCTATGTGGTCCCAGAGGAACCAACCTCCACGAAAGTCAATGTGGTTGTTAGAGGAACTAACCTCACTGAAGTTTTATGTGGTCCAAGAGAAACCAACCTACACGAAATTCAATGGCAATTTACAGAGGAACTAACCTCACTGAAGTTCTATGTGGTCCCAGAGGAACCAACCTCCACGAATGTCAATGTGGTTACAGAGGAACTAACCTCACTGAAGTTCTATGTGGTCCCAGAGGAACCAACCTCCCGAAGTCAATGTGGTTACAGAGGAACTAACCTCACTGAAGTTCTATGGTCCCAGAGGAACCAACCTACACGAAAGTCAATGTGGTTACAGAGGAACAACCTCACTGAAGTTCTATGTGGTCCCAGAGGAACCAAGAGGAACTAATGAATTTACAGAGGAACTAACCTCACTGAAGTTCTATGTGGTCCCAGAGGAACCAACCTACACGAAAGTCAATGTGGTTACAGAGGAACTAACCTCACTGAAGTTCTATGTGGTCCCAGATGAACCAACCTCCCACGAATGTCAAGCACAGAGAACTAACCTCACTGAAGTTCTATGTGGTCCCAGAGGAACCAACCTACACGAAAGTCAATGTGGTTACAGAGGAACTAACCTCACTGAAGTTCTATGTGGTCCCAGAGGAAACCAACCTACACGAAAGTCAATGTCAAGGCAGAGGAACTAACTCACTGAAGTTCTATGTGGTCCCAGAGGAACCTAAACCTACACGAAAGTCAATGTGGTTACAGAGGAACTAACCTCACTGAAGTTCTATGTGGTCCCAGAGGAACCAACCTCCTGAATGTCAAATGTGGTTCAATGTGGTTACAGAGGAACTAACCTCACTGAAGTTCTATGTGGTCCCAGATGAACCAACCTACACGAAAGTCAATGCTTACAGAGGAACTAACCTCACTGAAGTTCTATGTGGTCCCAGAGGAACCAAATCCCACCGAAAGTCAATGTGGTCCCAGAGGAACTAACACGAAAAGTCAATGTCATCCAGAAGAACCAACCTCCCACGAAAAGTCAATGTAGTTGAAACCAACCTCACTGAAGTTCTATGTGGTCCCAGAGGAACCAACATCCCCTGAATGTCAATGTGGGTTACAGAGGAACTAACCTCACTGAAGTTCTATGTGGTCCCAGAGGAACCAACCTACACGAAAGTCAATGTGGTTACGGATGAGCCAACCTCACTGAAGTTCTATGTTCTATGGTCCCAGAGGAACCAACCTACACGAAAGTCAATGTGGTTACAGAGGAACTAACTCACTGAAGTTTTATGTGGTCCCAGAGGAACCAACCTACACGAAAGAAATGAGAGGAACTAACCTCATGAAGTTTTAGGTCCCAGAGGAACCAACCAATACGAAAGTCAATGTGGTTACAGAGGAAACCAACCTCACTGAAGTTCCTATGTGGTCCCAGAGGAACCAACCTACCCGAATGTCAATGTGGTTTACAGAGGAACCAACATCACTGAAGTTCTATGTGGTCCCAGAGGAACCAACCTACACGAAAGTCAATGTGGTTACAGAGGAACCAACCTCACTGAAGTTCTATGTGGGTCCCAGAGAACCAACCACACGAAAGTCAATGTGGTTACAGAGGAACTAACCTCACTGAAGTTCTATGTGGTCCCAGAGGAACCAACCTCACACGAAAGTCAATGTAAAGCTACAGAGGAACTAACCTCACTGAAGTTCTATGTGGTCCCAGAGGAACCAACCTACACAAAAGTCAATGTGGTTTACAGAGGAACCAACCTCACTGAAGTTCTATGTGGTCCCAGAGGAACCAACCTACACGAAAGTCAATGTGGTTACAGAGGAACTAACCTCACTGAAGTTCTATGTGGTCCCAGAGGAACCAACCTACACGAAAGTCAATGTGTTTACAGAGGAACTAACCTCACTGAAGTTCTATGTGGTCCCAGAGGAACCAACCTACACGAAAGTCAATGTGGTTACAGAGGAACTAACCCTCACTGAAGTTCTATGTGGTCCCAGAGGAACCAACCTCCCTGAAAGTCAATGTGGTTACAGAGGAACTAACCTCACTGAAGTTCTATGTGGTCCCAGAGGAACCAACCCACACGAAAGTCAATGTGGCTACAGAGGAACCAACCTACTGAAGTTCTATGTGGTCCCAGAGGAACCAACCTCACGAAGTTCAATCCCAGAGGAACCAGCCTTAAGCAGGAGGAACTAACCTCACTGAAATTCTATGTGGTCCAAGAGGAACCAACCTCCCGAAAGTCAATGTGGTTACAGAGGAACTAACCTCACTGAAGTTCTATGTGGTCCCAGAGGAAACCAACCTACAAAACGAAAGTCTACAGAGAAAACCTCAAGTTCCTATGTGGTCCCAGAGGAACCAACCTACACGAAAGTCAATGTGGTTACAGAGGAACTAACCACTGAAGTTCTATGTGGTCCCAGAGGAACCAACCTCCCTGAAAGTCAATGTGGTTACAGAGGAACTAACTCACTGAAAGTTCTATGTGGTCCCAGAGGAACCAACCTGCACGAAAGTCAATGTGGTTACAGGAGGAACTAACCTCACTGAAGTTCTTTGTGGTCCAAGAGGAACCAACATGCACGAAAGTCAATGTGGTTACAGAGGAACTAACCTCACTTTGAAGTTCTATGTGGTCCCAGAGGAACCAACCCACACGAAAGTCAATGTGGTTACCAGAGGAACTAACCTCACTGAAATTCTATGTGCTCCCCAGAGGAACCAACCTCCCTGAAAGTCAATGTGGCATAGAGGAACTAACCTCACTGAAGTTCTATGGTCCCAGAGGAACCAACGTACGAAAAGTCAATGTGGTTACAGAGGACCTCTAACCTCACTGAAGTTCTATGTGGTCCCCAGAGGAACCAACCTACACTGAAAGTCAATGTCACTGATTACAGAGGAAAGCCTCCTAACTTCACTGAAGTTCTATGTGGTCCCAGAGGAAACCAACCCACACGAAAGTCAATGTGGTTACAGAGAGGAACTAACCTCACTGAAGTTCTATGTGGTCCCCAGAGGAAACCAACCCACACGAAAGTCTTTGTGGTCCAACAGAGTAACCTCCCCTAACTTCAATGTGGTTCTATTTGGTCCCAGATGAACCAACCTACCTGAAAGTCAATGTGCTTACAGAGGAACTAACCTCACTGAAGTTCTATGTGGTCCCAGAGGAACCAACCTACACGATAATGGAACAGAACTAACTCCTGAAATTCTATGTGGTCCCAGAGGAACCAACTAACCAATGTCACACAGGAAGAATTTCTATGTGGTCCCAGAGGAACCAACCTACACGAAAGTCAATGTGGTTACGGAGGAACTAACCTCACTGAAATTCTATGTGGTCCCAGAGGAAACCAACCTCCACGAAAGTCAATTGGAAGCATAGAGGAACTAACCTCACTGAAGTTTTATGTGGTCCCAGAGGAACCAACCTACACGAAAAAATTCAATGTGGTTAGAGAGTGAACTAACCTCACTGAAATTCTTTGTGGTCCAGAGGAACCAAACACACGAAAAGACTATCCTCTTTCTCAATTCTATGTGGTTACAGAGGAACTAACTTCACTGAAGTTCTATGTGGTCCCAGATGAACCAACCCACACGAAAAGTCAATGTGGTTACAGAGGAACCAACCTCCCTGAATGTACACGAAGAAGAAGTCAATGTGGTCCCAGAGGAACTAACCCTCACTGAAATTCTATAGTCCCAGGAAGACCAACCTACGAAAATCAATGTGGTCCCAGAGGAACTAACTCCCTCACTGAAATTCTATGTGGTCCCAGAGGAACCAACCTACACGAAAGTCAATGTGGTTACAGAGGAACTAACCTCACTGAAGTTCTATGTGGTCCCAGAGGAACCAACCCACACAGAGGAAAGTCACTGTAATTCTGTGTGGTTACAGAGGAACCAACCTCACTGAAGTTCTATGTGGTCCCAGAGGAACCAACCTACACGAAAGTCAATGTGGTTACAGAGGAAATAACCTCACTGAAATTCTATGTGGTCCCAGAGGAACCAACAATGTGGTTACAGAGGAACTATCACTCTAATGTGGTCCAGAGGAAACCTCCCAATTCTATGTGGTCCCAATGAAACCTCCCAATGGTTGCTGGAGGAAACCTCACTGAATGTGGTCCCAGATGAACCAATCCCTACACGAAAGTCAATGATTACAGAGGAACTAACCTCACTGAAGTTCTATGGGTCCCAGAGGAACCAACCTACACGAAAGTCAATGTGGTTACAGAGAGGCCAACCTCACTGAAATTCTATGTGGTCCCAGAGGAACCAACCTACACGAAAGTCAATGTGGTTACAGAGGAACTAACCTCACTGAAGTTCTATGGGTCCCAGAGAGGAACCAACCTACACGAAAGTCAATGGGGTTACAGGAGGAACTAACCTCACTGAAGTTCTATGTGGTCCCCAGAGGAACCAACCTACACGAAAGTCAATGTGGTTAGAGAAACCAACCTCCTGAAGTTCAATGTGGTCCCAGGAGGAAACCAACCTACACGAAAGGTGTTTACAGAGGAACTAACCTCACTGAAGTTCTATGTGGTCCCAGAGGAACCAACCTACACGAAAGTCAATGTGGTTACAGAGGAACTAACCTCACTGAAATTCTTTGTGGTCCCAGAGAAACCAACCTACACGAGGTTACAGAGGAACCTTCTCCCTGAATGTGGTTACAGAGGAACCAACCCACACGAAAGTCAATGTGGTCCCAGAGGAACCAACCTCACTGAAAGTTCTATGTGGTCCCCCAGAGGAACCAGCCCCACGAAAGTCCCATGTGGTCCCAGAGGAACCACACACGAAAGTCACTGGTGTGGTTACAGAGGAACTAACCTCACTGAAGTTCTATGTGGTCCCAGGAGGAACCAACCCACACGAAAGTCAATGTGGTTACAGAGGAACCAACTCACTGAAGTTCTATGTGGTCCCAGAGGAACCAACACACTGAAAGTCAATGTGTTTTACAGAGAACTAACCTCACTGAAGTTCTATGTGGTCCCAGAGGAACCAACCTACACGAAAGTCGAAAATGTGGTTACAGAGGAACTAACCTCACTGAAGTTCTATGTGGTCCCAGAGGAACCAACCTACACGAAAATCAATGTGGTTACAGAGGAACCAACCTCACTGAAATTCTATGGTTCCAAGAGGAACCAACCTACGAAAGTCAATGTGGTTACAGAGGAACTAACCCTCACTGAAGTTCTATGTGGTCCCAGTTTAACCAACCTACACGAAAATGTAATGATTTACAGGAACTAACCTCCTGAAGTTCTATGTGGTCCCAGAGGAAACCAACCTACACGAAAGTCAGTAATGGTTACAGAGTGAACCAACCTCACTGAAGTTCTATGTGGTCCCCAGAGGAACCAACCTCCCTGAAAGTCAAATGGTTACAGGAACTAACCTCACTGAAGTTCTATGTGGTCCCAGAGAACCAACCCACACGAAAGTCAATGTGGTTACAGAGGAACCAACTCACTGAGACCTATGTGGTCCCAGAGAACCAACCTCCCCGGGAAAAGTCAATGTGGATTACAGAGGAACTAACCTCACTGAAGTTCTATGTGGTCCCCAGAATTCCCAACCTCCCTGAAAAGTCAATGGGTTACAGAGGAACTAACCTCACTGAAGTTCTATGTGGTCCCAGAGGAACCAACCTACACGAAAGTCACCGTGGTTACAGAGGAGTTCTGAGGTCCAGAGGAACCACTGAAGTTCTATGTTGGTCCCAGAGGAACCAACCTACACGAAAGTCAATGTGGTTACAGAGGAACTAACCTCCTGAAGTTCTATGGTCCCAGAGGAACCAACCCCCAAAAAAGTCAATGTGGTTACAGAGGAACTAACCTCACTGAAGTTCTATGTGGTCCCAGAGGAACCAACCTACACGAGAAATCAATGTGGTTACAGAGGAACTAACCTCACTGAAGTTCTATGGTCCCAGAGGAACCAAACCTACACGAAAGTCAATGTGGTTACAGAGGAACTAACCTCACTGAAGTTCTATGTGGTCCCAGAGGAACCAACCTACACCCGAATGTCAATGTGGTCCCCAGAGACAACCTACAGAGGAATTAACCTCACTGAAGTTCTATGTGGTCCCAGAGGAACCAACCTACACGAAAATCAATGTGGTCTCAGAGGAACTAACCTCACTGAAATTCTATGTGGTCCCAGAGGAACCAACCACACTGTCAATTCACTACAGAGGAACTAAACTCACTGGTTCTATGTGGTCCCAGAGGAACCAACCCTGAAAGTCAACAATGTGGTTACAGAGGAACTAACCTCACTGAAATTCTATGTGGTCCCAGATGAACCAACACGAATGTCAATAATGGTTTCAAGAAACCTCACTGAAATTCTTTGTGGTCCCAGAGGAACCAACCTCCCCTCCAGAGGAAAACCTCACTGTAAATGTGGTTACAGAGGAACTAACCTCACTGGAAATTCTAAGTGTGGTCCCAGAGGAACCAACCACACGAAAGTCAATGTGGTTACAGAGGAACTAACCTCACTGAAGTTCTATGTGGTCCCAGAGGAACCAACCACACGAAAGTCAATGTGGTTACAGAGGAACTAACCTCACTGAAGTTCTATGTGGTCCCAGAGGAACCAACCTACACGAAAGCCAATGTGGTTACAGAGGAACCAACCTCACTGAAGTTCTATGGGTCCCAGAGGAACCAACCTACACTGAATGTCAATGTGTTTACAAAGCGAACTAACCTCACTGAAGATGTGGTCCCAAGGAACAACCTACACGAAAGTCAATGTGGTTACAGAGGAACCAACTCACTGAAGTTCTATGTGGTCCCAGATGAACCAACCTACACGAAATGCCAATGTGGTTACAGAGGAACTAAACTCACTGGAAATTCTTTGTGGTCCCAGAGGAACCAACCTCACGAAAGTCAATGTGGTTAGAGAGAACTAACCTCACTGAAGTTCTATGTGGTCCCAGAGGAACCAACCTGCACACGAAAGTCAATGTGGTTACAGAGGAACTAACCCTCACTGAAGTTCTATGGTCCCAGAGGAACCAACTCCCACGAAAGTCAATGTGGTTACGGAGGAACCAACCTCACTGAAATTCTATGTGGTCCCAGAGGAACCAACCTACACGAAAGTCAGTGTGGTTGTGAACTTACAGAGGTTCCTAACCTCACTGAAGTTCTGAATGTGGTCCCAGAGGAACCAACCTACGAGAGTCAATGTGGTTACAGAGGAACTAACCTCACTGAAGTTCTATGGTCCCAGAGGAACCAACCTACACGAAAGTCAATGTGGTTACAGAGGAACCAACCTCCCTGAAATTCTTATGTGGTCCCAGAGGAACCAACCCATTAATGTCAAAGACAATGGGAGAGAACTAACCTCACTGAAGTTCTATGTGGTCCCAGAGAACCAACCTAACCCACTGAATGTCAATGTGCTTACAGAGGAACTAACCTCACTGAAGTTCTATGTGGTCCCAGAGGAACCAACCTACACGAAAGTCAATGTGGTTAAAGAGGAACTAACCTCACTGAAGTTCTATGTGGTCCCAGATGAACCAACCTCTGAATGTCAGTAATAACTTTGGAGACTAACCTCACCAGAGTTCTATGTGGTCCCAGAGAACCAACCTACACAAAGTCAATGTCATCACAGAAGAACCAACCTCACTGAAATTCTGTAACAGTCCCAGATAGACCCAGCATCCCCGAATGAGGAACCAACTAACCCTGAAAGTTCAATTTGGTTAGTCAATGTGGTTACGGAACCAACCTCACTGAAATTCTATGTGTCCCCAGAGAAACATGGTCCAACTCTCACTGAACCTTTTTATGTGGTCCTAGAGGGGACCAACCACAGGAAATTCAATGTGGTTACGGAGGACCTCCTGAGTTCTATGTGTGGTCCCCAGGAACCAACCTCCCCGAATGTCAGTATTAGCACAGAGGAACTACTTTCACTATGTGGTCCCAGAGGAACCAACCTCACTGAAGTTCTATGAAAGACCAACCTCCCCAGATGTCAATGTGCTTTACAGAGGAACTAACCTCACTGAAGTTCTATGTGGTCTCAGAGAGGAACTGAACCAATGAAAGACAATGTGGTTTACAGAGTAACTAACCTCACTGAAATTCTATGTGTCCCAGAGGAACCAACCTCCCCATGTCAATTTACGGAGAACTAACCTCACTATGTGGTCCCAGAGGAACCAAACCTATTACGAAAGTCAATGTGCTTTACAGAGGAACTAACCTCACTGTGAAATTCTATGTGGTCCCAGAGGAACCAACCTCCCTGAATGTCGTGGTTAGCACAAGGAACTAACCTGCTGAAGTTCTATGTGGTCCCAGATGAAACCAACCTACACAAAAAGTCAATGGGATTTACAGAGAAACTAACTCACTGAAATTCTATGTGGTCCCAGATGTCCCGAATGGATGAACCAGCCCCACTGAAGTTCAATGTGGTCCCAGAAGAACCAACCTACACGAAATTTACGTGGTTACAGAGGAACCAACCTCATTCTGAAATTCCCCAGATAGACCAGCCTCCCGGGTCCCAGAGGAACCAAACCCATTCACGAAACCTCCCCAAGGAATGTCAGTAGTAACACAGAGGAACTAACCTCTGAAGCAAGTTCTATGTGGTCCCCAGAAGAACCAACCCACACGAAAGTCAATGTGGTTACAGAGGAACCAATGTGGTCCCTGAACCACTAAATTGTCTATGAGGTCCAAGAGGAACCAACCTCCCCGAAAGTCAGTGTTAGCACAGGAGGAACTAACCTCACTGAAGTTCTATGTGGTCCCAGAGGAACCAGCCTACTGAATGTCAATGTGGTTGACAGAGGAACCAACTCACTGAAATTCTATGTGCTCCCAGAGGACCAACCTCTCGAATGTCAATGTGCTTACAGGAAAACCTCACTGAAGTTCTGTGGTCCCAGATGAACCAACCACACGAAAGTCAATGTGGTCCCAGAGGAACCAACCTCCCTGAAGTTCTATGTGGACCAACCTCCCGAATGAGGAACTTACAGACTAGCTCTCACTGAAGTTCTATGTGGTCCCAGAGGAACCAACCTACACGAAGTCAGTAATGGTTGCAGGGAACTAACCTCCTGAAATTCTATGTGGTCCCAGGGAACCAACCTCCCCGAAAGTCAATGTGGTTACAGAGGAACCAACCTCACTGAAGTTCTATGTGGTCCCAGAGGAACCAAACCTACACGAAAGTCAATGTCATTACAGAGGAACCAACCTCACTGAAGTTCTATGTGGTCCCAGAGGAACCAGGACACGAAAAGTCAATGTGGTTACAGAGAAACTAACCTCACGAAGTTCAATGTGGTCCCAGGAGGAACCAACCTACACGAAAGTTCAATGTGGTCCCCAGAGGAACCAACCTCACTGAGTTCTATGTGGTCCCCAGAGGAACTAACCTACACGAAAGTCTTTGTGGTCACAGAAGAACCAACCTCACTGAAAGTTCTATGTGGTCCCAGAGGAACCAACCAACACGAAAATCCAGAGGAACTAACCTCACTGAAGTTCTATGTGGTCCCAGAGAAACCTCCCCCGAATGTCAATGTGGTTACAGAGGAACTAACCTCACTGAAGTTCTATGTGGTCCCAGAGGAACCAACCTACACGAAAGTGAATTGGCATAGAGGTCCCAATGTGAAATTTAGTTCCAGAGGAACCAACTCACTGAATTTCTATGTGGCCCAGAGGAACCAACCTCCCTGAATGTCAATGTGGTCCCAGAGGAACCAACCTCACGAAAGTTCTATGGTCCCCAGAGGAACCAACCTCCCGAAGTCAATGTGGTCCCAGAGGAACCTCTACTGAAGTTCTATGTGGTCCCCAGAGGAACCAACCTCACTGAATTTCTGTGTGGTCCCAGAGGAACCAAATTTGAAAGTCAATGTGGTTAGAGGAACCATCCTCACTGAAATTCTATGTGGTCCCAGAGGAACCAACCTCCCGAAAGTCAATGTGGTTACAGAGGAATAACCTCACTGAAGTTCTATGTGGTCCCAGAGGAACCAACCACAATGAAAGTCAATGTGGTTACAGAGGAACTAACCTCACTGAAATTCTATGTGGTCCCAGAGGAACCAACCTCCCGAAAGTCAATGTGGTTACAGAGGAACTAACCTCACTGGAAAGTTCTATGTGGTCCCAGAGGAACCAACCTCCCAGGAAATTCAATGTAATTTACAGGAATGAATTCAATGTGGTCCCAGGAGAACCAACCTCCCTGAAGTCTATGTGGTCCCAGAGAACCAACCCACGATTCACATGTGTACAGAGGAACTAACTCACCCCATGGTCCCAGAACCAACCTACACGAAAGTCAATGTGGTTACAGAGGAAACTAACTCACTGAAATTCTATGTGGTCCCAGAGGAACCAACCTCAGAGGAAATTTCTGAATGTCCAAGAGGAACCAACCCACATGAAATGTGGTTACAGAGGAACTAACCTCACTGAAGTTCTATGTGGTCCCAGAGGAACCAACCTACACGAAAGTCAATGTGGTTACAGAGGAATCCAAACTCACTGAAGTTCTATGTGGTCCACGAAAGTCAATGTGGTTACAGAGGGAACTAACTCATTGAAATTCTTATGTGGTCCAGAGGAAACCAACCTCATGAAAAGTCAATGTGGTTACAGAGGAACTAACCTCACTGAAGTTCTATGTGGTCCCAGAGGAACCAACCCCACACGAAAGTCAATGTGGTTACAGAGGAACTAACCTCACTGAAGTTTCTATGTGGTCCCAGAGAAACCAACCTCCACGAAAGTCAATGTGGTCCCAGAGGAACTAACCTCACTGAAGTTCTGTTCTACCCAGAGGAACCAACCTACACGAAGTCAATGGGTTACAGAGAACCAACCTCACACGAAAGGGTCAATGTGGTTACAGAGGAACCAACCTCACTGAATTTCTATGTGGTCCAAGAGGAACCAACCCACACGAAAGTCAATGTGGTTACGGAGGAGCCAACCTCACTGAAATTCTATGTGGTCCCAGAGGAACCAACCTCCCCGAAAGTCAATGTGTTTACAGAGGAACTAACCTCACTGAAGTTCTATGTGGTCCCCAGAGGAACCAGCCCACACGAGAACAATGTGGTTACAGAGGAACTAAACTCACTGAAATTCTATGTGGTCCCAGGAGGAACCTCCCCGAAAGTCAATGTGGTTACAGAGGAACTAACCTCACAAAGTTCTATGTGGTCCCAGAGGAACCAACCTACACGAAAGTCAATGTGGTTACAGAGGAACTAACCTCACTGAAGTTCTATGTGGTCCCAGAGAACCAACCCCACACCTCAGAGGAACTAACTCACTGAATTTCTATGTGGTCCCAGAGGAACCAACCTACACGTCAGTCCAATGTTACAGAGGAACTAACCTCACTGAAGTTCTATGTGGTCCCAGAGGAACCAACCCACACGAAAGTCAATGTGGTTACAGAGGAACCAACCTCACTGAAGTTCTATGTGGTCCCAGAGGAACCAACCTACACGAAAGTCAATGTGGTTACAGGAGGAAACCAACCTCACTGAAAGGATTCTATGTGGTCCCAGAGGAACCAACCCACACGAAAAAGTCAATGTGGTTTCAGAGGAACTAACCTCACTGAAGTTCTATGTGGTCCCAGAGGAACCAACCTACACGAAAAATCAATGTGGTTACAGAGGAACTAACCTCACTGAAGTTCTATGTGGTCCCAGAGGAACCAACAACCACGAAAGTCAATGTGATTACAGAGGAACTAACCTCACTGAAATTCTTTGTGGTCCAAGAGGAACCAACCTCCACGAAAGTCAATGTGGTTACAGAGGAACTAACCTCACTGAAGTTCTATGTGGTCCCAGAGGAACCAACCTACACGAAAGTCAATGTGGTTACAGAGGAACTAACCTCACTGAAGTTCTTTGTGGTCCCAGATGAAAGACAACCACACGAAAGTCAATGTAGTTACAGAGGAACCAACCTCACTGAATTTCAGGTATGTGGTACCCATGGAGGGAACTAACCTCACTGAAAGTCTATGTGGTCCCAGAGGAACCAACCTCAATGTGGTTTCTCACTGTGGTCCCAGAGGAACCAACCTACACGAAAGTCAATGTGGTTACAGAGGAACCAACCTCACTGAAGTTCTATGTGGTCCCCCAGGAAGGAACCAACCACACGAAAGTCAATGTGGTTACAGAGGAACTAACCTCACTGAAGTTCTATGTGGTCCCAGAGGAACCAACCTCCCGAAAGTCAATGTGGTTACAGAGGAACTAACCTCACTGAAGTTCTATGTGGTCCCAGATGAACCAACCTCCCCGAAAGTCAATGTGGTTACAGAGAACTAACTCACTGAACTATGGGGTCCTGAAAACCTCCCCGAATGTCAGTGTGGTTACAGAGGAACTAACCTCACTGAATTTCTATGTGGTCCCCAGAGGAACCAACCTACACGAAAGTCAATGTGGTTACAGAGGAACCAACCTCACTGAAGTTCTATGTGGTCCCAGAGGAACCAACCTCACGAATGTCAATGTGGTTACAGAGGAACTAACCTCACTGAAGTTCTATGTGGTCCCAGATGAACCAACCTCCACGAAAGTCAATGGAACCAAACTCACTACAGAGGAACTAACCTCACTGAATGTGGTTCTGTTCTATGGTCCCAGAGGAACCAACCTCCACGAAAGTCAATGTGGTTACAGAGGAACTAACCTCACTGAAGTTCTATGTGGTCCCAGAGGAACCAACCTACACGAAAGTCAATGTGGTTACAGAGGAACTAACCTCACTGAAGTTCTATGTGGTCCCAGAGGAAACCAACCCACACGAAAGTCAATGTGGTTACAGAGGAACCAAACTCACTGAAGTTCTATGTGGTCCCAGAGGAACCAACCTACCCGAAAGTCAATGTGGTTACAGAGGAACCAACCTCACTGAATTTCTATGTGGTCCCAGAGGAACCAACCCACACCAATGTGGTTACGGAGGAACTAGCCTCACTGAAATTCTATGTGTTCCCAGAGGAACCTCCCAGTCAATGTGGTTACAGAGAACCAACCTCACTGAGTTCTATGGTCCCCCAGAGGAACCAACCTACACGAAAGTCAATGTGGTTACAGAGGAACTAACCTCACAGATGAAATTCTATGTGGTCTCAGAGGAACCAACCTCCTGAATGTCTATGTGGTCCCAGAGGAACCAACCCACACGAAAGTCAATGTGGTTACAGAACCAAACCACTGAATTTCTATGTGGTCCCAGAGGAACCAACCTACACGAAAGTCAATGTGGTTACAGAGGAACTAACCTCACTGAAATTCTATGTGGGTCCCAGAGGAACCAACCTCCCTCATTGTGCTTGAAAGTTCTATGTGGTCCCAGAGAGAACCAAACCACGAAAGTCAATGTGGTTACAGAGGAACTAACCTCACTGAATCTTTGTGGTCTCAGGAGGAACAAACTCACTGAAATTTCTATGTTGTCCCATTGAAGTTCTATGGGTCCCAGGAGGAACCAACCTACACGAAAGTCAATGTGGTTCCCAGAGAACTAACCTCACTGAAGTTCTAATGGTCCCAGAGGAACCAACCTCCCCGAATGTCAATGTGGTTACAACTCACTGAAGTTCTATGTGGTCCCAGAGGAACCAAACCTCACTGAATTTCTATGTGGTCCCAGAGGAACCAAACCACACGAAAGTCAATGTGGTTACAGAGGAACCAACCTCACTAATTTCTATTGTGGTCCCAGAGGAACCAACCTACACGAAAGTCAATGTGGTTACAGAGGAACCAACCTCACTGAAGTTCTATGTGGTCCCAGAGGAACCAACCCACGAAAGTCAATGTGGTTACAGAGGAACCAACCTCACTGAAATTCTATGTGGTCCCAGAGGAACCAACCACCCGAAAGTCAATGTGCTTACAGAGGAACCAACCTCACTGAAGTTCTATGTGGTCCCAGAGGAACCAACCTACACACAATGTGGAAATTCAATGTGGTTACAGGAGGAACTAACCTCACTGAAATTCTATGTGGTCCCAGAGGAAACCAACCTCCTGAAGTCAATGTGGTTCCCACAGGAACTAACCTCACTGAAATTCTATGTGGTCCAGAGGAACCAACCTCACTGAAGTTCTATGTGGTCCCAGAGGAACCAACCACATTAACTTTTGTGGAAAGTCAACCTGTGTGGTTACAGAGGAACCAACCTCCCTGAAGTTCTATGTGGTCCCAGAACCAACCTCCACGAAAGTCAATGTGGTTACGGAGGAACCAACCTCACTGAAGTTCTATGTGGTCCCAGATGAACCAACCTACACGAAAGTCAATGTGGTTACAGAGGAACTAACCTCACTGAAATTCTTTATGTGGTCCCAGAGGAACCAACCTACATGAAAGTCAATGTTTCAATCACTGGAAGTTCTTTGTGGTCCCAAGAGAACCAACCTACACGAAAGTCCATGTGGTTACAGAGGAACCAACTCTCACTGAAGTTCTATGGTCCCAGAGGAACCAACCTCCACGAATGTCAATGGTTACAGAGGAACTAACCTCACTGAAGTTCTATGTGGTCCCAGAGGAACCAACCTACACGAAAGTCAATGTGGTTACAGAGGAACTAACCTCACTGAAGTTCTATGTGGTCCCAGAAACAACCTAAAAAAGACCTCACCATTTATGTGGGTCCCAGAGGAAGATCACTGAATGTCAATGTGGTCCCAGAGGAACTAACCTCACTGAAGTTCTATGTGGTCCCCAGAGGAACCAACCCACACGAAAGTCAATGTGGTTACAGAGGAACTAACCTCACTGAAGTTCTATGTGGTCCCAGAGGAACCAACACGAAAGTCAATGTGGTTAGAGGAATTAACCTCACTGAAGTTCTATTTGGTCCCAGAGGAACCAACCTACACGAAAGAACCAACCTCACTGAAATTCTATGTGGTCCCAGGAACCAACCTCCCAGGTTACAGAGGAACTAACCTCCAGTTCTACAGAGGAACCAACCAACACGAAAGTCAATGTGGTTACAGAGGAACTAACCTCACTGAAATTCTATGTGGTCCCAGAGGAACCAACCTCAACACGAAACCTCACTGTGGTTATCCCAGAGGAACCAACCTCACTGAAATTCTATGTGGTCCCAGAGGAACCAACCTACACGAAAGTCAATGTCATTTACAGAGGAACTAACCTCACTGAAGTTCTATGTGGTCCCAGAGGAACCAACCTACACGAAAGTCAATGTGGTTACAGAGGAACCAACCTCACTGAAGTTCTATATTGGTCCCAGAGGAACCAACCTACACGAAAGTCAATGTGGTTACAGAGGGGGAACTAAATGTCCCTGAATGAAGTCAAAGTGCGGTTACAGAGAACTAACCTCACTGAAGTTCTATGTGGTTCCAGAGGAACCAACCTACACGAAAGTCAATGTGGTTACAGAGGAACTAACCTCACTGAAATTCTGTGGTCCCAGATGAACCAACCTCCACGAAAATCAATGTGGTTACAGAGGAACTAACTCACTGAAGTTCTATGTGGTCCCAGAGGAACCAACCTACACGAAAGTCAATGTGGTTACAGAGGAACTAACTCACTGAAGTTCTATGTGGTCCCAGATTCTAACGAATGTCAATGTGGTTACAGAAGACTAACCTCACTGAAGTTCTATGTGGTCCCAGAGGAACAATGAAAGTCAATGTGGTTACAGAGGAACTAACCTCACTGAAGTTCTATGTGGTCCCAGAGGAAACCAACCCACACGAAAGTCAATGTGGTTACAGAGGAACTAACCTCACTGAAGTTCTATGTGGTCCCAGAGGAACCAACCTCCACGAAAGTCAATGTGGTTACAGAGGAACTAACCTCACTGAAGTTCTATGGTCCCAGAGGAACCAACCTACACGAAAGTCAATGTGGTTACAGAGGAACCAACCTCACTGAAATTCTGTGGTCCCAGAGGAACCAACCTCCCCGAATGTCAATGTAATTACAGAGGAACTAACCTCACTGAAGTTCTATGTGGGTCCCAGAGGAACCAACCTCCCACGAATGTCAATGTGGTTACAGAGGAACTAACCTCACTGAAGTTCTATGTGGTCCCAGAGAAACCAACCTCCCCGAAAGTCAATGTGTTTACAGAGGAACTAACCTCACTGAAATTCTTTGTGGTCCCAGAGGAACCAACCTCCCTGAATGTCAATGTGGTTACAGAGGAATAACCTCACTGTGAAGTTCTATGTGGTCCCAGAGGAACCAACCTACACGAAAGTCAATGGTTACGGGATGAGCCAACCTCATTCTATGTGGTCCCAGAGGAACCAACCTCCCGAAAGTCAATGGTTACAGAGGAACTAACCTCACTGAAGTTCTATGTGGTCCCAGAGGAACCAACCTACACGAAAGTCAATGTGGTTACAGAGGAACTAACCTCACTGAAGTTCTATGTGGTCCCAGAGGAAACCAACCTACACGAATGTCAATGTGGTTACAGGAACTAACCTCACTGAAATTCTATGTGGTCCCAGAGGAACCAACCAACACGAATGTCAATGTGGTTACAGAGGAACTAACTCACTGAAGTTCTATGTGGTCCCAGGAACCAACCTCCCGAAAGTCAATGTGGTTCAGAGGAACCAACTAACCTCTGAAGTTCTATGGTCCCAGAGGAACCAACCTCCACGAAAGTCAATGTGGTTACAGAGACAACCAACCTCCCCTGAACCAACCTCACTGAAGTTCTATGTGGTCCCAGAGGAACCAACCTACACGAAAGTCAATGTGGTTACAGAGGAACCAACCACTGAAATTCTATGTGGTCCCAGAGGAACCAACCTACACGAAAGTCAATGTGGTTACAGAGCAACCTCACTGAAGTTCTATGTGGTCCCAGAGGAACCAATCCACACGAAAGTCAATGTGGTTACAGAAGAACTAACCTCACTGAGTTCTATGTGGTCCCAGAGGAACCAACCTACACGAAAGTCAATGTGGTTACAGAGGAACTAACCTCACTGAAGTTCTCTGTGTCCCAGAGGACCAACCTCCCAGAGGAACCAACCTACACGAAAGTCAATGTGCTTACAGCACAGGAACTAACCTCACTGAAGTTCTATGTGCTCCCAGAGGAACCAACCCACACGAATGTCAATATGTCATTACAGAGAACTAACCTCACTGAAATTCTATGTGGTCCCAGAGGAACCAAAACCTCCCTGAATGTCAATGTGTTTACAGAGGAACTAACTCACTGAAGTTCTATGTGGTCCCAGAGGAACCAACCTACACGAAAGTCAATGTGGTTACAGAGGAACTAACCTCACTGAAATTCTATGTGGTCCCAGAGGAACCAACCTCCCCGAAAGTCAATGTGGTCCCCAGAGGAACCAACCTCACTGAAGTTCTATGTGGTCCCAGAGGAACCAACCTCCTGAAATTCAATGTGGTTACAGAGGAACCAACCTCACTGAGTTCTATGTGGTCCCAGAGGAACCAACCTCCACGAAAGTCAATGTGGTTACAGAGGAACCAACTCACTGAAGTTCTATGTGGTCCCAGAGAACCAAACCTACACGAAAGTCAATGTGGTTACAGAGGAACCAGCCTCACTGAAGTTCTATGGGGTCCCAGAGGAACCAACCTACGAAAGTCAGTGTGGTTACAGAGGAACCAACCTCACTGAAGTTCTATGTGGTCCCAGAGGAACCAACCTACACGAAAAGTCAATGTGGTTACAGAGGAACCAACCTCACTGAAATTCTATGTGGTCCAAGAGAACCAACCTCCCGAATGTCAATAATGGTTACAGAGGAACTAACCTCACTGAAGTTCTATGGTCCCAGAGGAACCAACCTACATGAAAGTCAATGTGGTTACAGAGGAACCAACTCACGAAATTCTAATGGTCCCAGAGGAACCAACCTACACGAAAGTCAATGTGGTTAGAGGAACCAACCTCACTGAAGTTCTATGTGGTCCCAGGAGGAACCAACCTACACGAAAGTCAATGTGGTTACAGAGGAACTAACCTCCACTGAAGTTCTATGTGGTCCCAGAGGAACCAAACCTACACGAAAGTCAATGTGGTTACAGAGGAACTAACTCACTGAAGTTCTATGTGGTCCCAGAGGAACCAACCTTTCCGAAAGTCAATGTGGTTACAGAGGAACTAACTCTCACTGAAGTTCTATGTGGTCCCAGAGGAACCAACCTACACGAAAGTCAATGTGGTTACAGAGGAACTAACCTCACTGAAGAACCAACCTATGTGGTCCCCAGAGGAACCAACCTACACGAAAGTCAATGTGGTTACAGAGGAACCAACCTCACTGAAGTTCTATGTGGTCCCAGAGGAACCAACCTCCTGAATGTCCTAACCTACAGAAAGGGTCCAACCTGTGAGTTCAATGTGGTTCCCAGAGGAACTAACCTCCTGGAAAGTTCTATGTGTGGTCCCAGAGGAAACCAACCTACACGAAAGTCATGTGGTTACAGAGGAACTAACCTCACTGAAGTTCTATGTGGTCCCAGAGGAACCAACCAACCCGAAAGTCAATGTGGTTACAGGAACCAACCTCACTGAAAGAAGTTCTATGTGGTCCCAGAGGAACCAACCTACACGAAAGTCAATGTGGTTACAGAGGAACTCCACTGAAGTTCTATGTGGTCCCAGATGAACCAACCTCCACGAATGTCAATGTGGTTACAGAGGAACTAACCTCACTGAAGTTCTATGTGGTCCCAGAGGAACCAACCTACACGAAAGTCAATGTGGTTACAGAGGAACTAACCTCACTGAAAGTTCTATGTGGTCCCAGATGAACCAACCTCCACGAAAGTCAATGTGGTGAAATACAGAGGAACTAACCTCCCACTGAAGTTCTATGTGGTCCCAGAGGAACCAACCTACACGAAAGTCAATGTGGTTACAGAGAACTAACTCACTGAAGTTCTATGTGGTCCCAGAGGAACCAACCTCCACGAAAGTCAATGTGGTTACAGAGGAACTAACCTCACTGAAGTTCTATGTGGTCCCAGAGGAAACCAACCCACACGAAAGTCAACGTGGTTACAGAGGAACCAACCCCTGAAGTTCTATGGTCCCAGAGGAACCAACCTCACGAAAGTCAATGTGGTTACAGAGGAACTAACCTCACTGAAGTTCTATGTGGTCCCAGAGAAACCAACCAACACGAAAGTCAATGGTTACAGAGGAACTAACCTCACTGAAGTTCTATGTGGTCCCAGAGGAACCAACCTACACGAAATGTCAATGTGGTTACAGAGGAACTAACTCACTGAAGTTCTATGTGGTCCCAGAGGAACCAACCTACACGAAAGTCAATGTGGTTACAGAGAACTAACCTCACTGAAGTTCTATGTGGTCCCAGAGGAACCAACCCACACGAAAGTCAATGTGGTTACAGAGGAACCAACCTCACTGAAGTTCTATGTGGTCCCAGAGGAACCAACCAACACGAAAGTCAATGGTTACAGAGGAACTAACCTCACTGAAGTTCTATGTGGTCCCAGAGGAACCAACCTCCCACGAAAGTCAATGTGGTTACAGAGGAACTAACCTCACTGAAGTTCTATGTGGTCCCAGAGGAACCAACCTACACGAAAGTCAATGTGGTTACAGAGGAACTAACCTCACTGAAACATGTGGGTCCCAGATGAAACCCAACCGAAAGTCAATGTGGTTAGAGGAACCAACCTCACTGAAGTTCTATGTGGTCCCAGAGGAACCAACCTCACTGAAAAGTTCAATGTGGTTACAGAGGAACTAACCTCACTGAAGTTCTATGTGGTCCCAGAGGAACCAACCTCCACGAAAGTCAATGTGGTTACAGAGGAACTAACTCACTGAAGTTCTATGGTCCCAGAGGAACCAACCTACACGAAAAAGTCAATGTGGTTACAGAGGAACCAACCTCACTGAAGTTCTATGTGGTCCCAGATGAAACCAACCTAACTCACTGAAAGTCAATGTGGTTACAGAGGAACTAACCTCACTGAAGTTCTATGTATGGTCCCAGAGGAACCAACCTCTCCGAAAGTCAATGTGGTTACAGAGGAACTAACCTCACTAAAGTTCTATGTGGTCCCAGAGGAACCAACCTACACGAATGTCAATGTGGTTACAGAGGAACTAACCTCACTGAAGTTCTATGTGGTCCCAGAGGAACCAACCTACACGAAAGTCAATGTGGTTACAGAGGAACTAACCTCACTGAAGTTCTATGTGGTCCCAGAGGAACCAACCTACCGAAAGTCAATGTGGTTACAGAGGAACTAACCTCACTGAAGTTTTATATGGTCCCAGAGGAACCAACCTCCACGAATGTCAATGTGGTTACAGAGGAACTAACCTCACTGAAGTTCTATGTGGTCCCAGAGGAACCAACCTACACGAAAGTCAATGTGGTTACAGAGGAACTAACCTCACTGAAATTCTATGTGGTCCCAGAGGAACCAACCTCCCTGAAATGTCAATGTGTTTACAGAGAACTAACCTCACTGAAGTTCTATGTGGTCCCAGAGGAACCAACCTACACGAAAGTCGTTACAGAGGGACAACTTCACAATGTAGTCCCAGATGAACAACCTGCACGAAAGTCAGTGTGTTAACAGAGGAAACTAAGAGAAATTCTTGTGGTCCAAGAGGAACCAACCTCACTGAAGTTCTATGTGGTCCCAGAGGAACCAACCTCCCGAATGTCAATGGTTACAGAGGAACTAACCTCACTGAAGTTCTATGTGGTCCCAGAGGAACCAACCTCCCCGAAAGTCAATGTGCTTACAGAGGAACTAACCTCACTGAAGTTCTATGTGGTCCCAGAGGAACCAACCTCCCCGAATGTCAATGTGCTTACAGAGGAACTAACCTCACTGAAGTTCTATGTGGTCCCAGGTCCCAGAAAGAAACAGAGGAACCAACCTCACGAAAATGGTCCCAGAGAGGAACCAACCTCACGAATGTCAATGTGGTTACAGAGGAACTAACCTCACTGAAGTTCTATGTGGTCCCAGAGGAAACCAACCTCCCCGAATGTCAATGTGGTTACAGAGGAACTAACCTCTGCTGAAGTTCTGTGGTCCCAGAGGAACCAACCTCCACGAAAGTCAATGTGGTTACAGAGGAACTAACCTCACTGAAGTTCTATGTGGTCCCAGAGGAACCAAATCCCTGAAAGTCAATGTGGTTACAGAGGAACTAACCTCACTGAAGTTCTATGTGGTCCCAGAGGAACCCAACCTACACGAATGTCAATGTGGTTACAGAGGAACTAACCTCACTGAAAGTTCTATGCGGGTCCCAGAGGAACCAACCCCCGAAAGTCAATGTGGTTACAGAGGAACTAACCTCACTGAAGTTCTATGTCCCAGATGGGTCCTGAAAAGAGTGAACCAACCCACAACTTCACTGAATGTGGTCCCCTACACGAGAAAGTCAATGTGGTTACAGAGGAACTAACCTCACTGAAATTCTATGGTCCCAGATGAACCAACCTCCCCGAATGTCAATGTGGTTACAGAGGAACCAACCTCACTGAAGTTCTATGTGGTCCCAGAGGAACCAAACCTACACGAAAGTCAATGTGGTTACAGAGGAAACTAACCTCACTGAAGTTCTATGTGGTCCCAGAGGAACCAACCTACACGAAAGTCAATGTGGTTACAGAGGAACCAACCTCACTGAAATTTATGTGGTCCCAGAGGAACCAACCTACACGAATGTCAATGTGGTTACAGAGGAACTAACCTCACTGAAGTTCTATGTGGTCCCAGAGGAACCAACCTACACGAAAGTCAATGTGGTTACAGAGGAACTAACCTCACTGAAGTTCTATGTGGTCCCAGAGGAACCAACCGTCCACACGAATGTCAATGTGGTTACAGAGGAACTAACCTCACTGAAGTTCTATGTGGTCCCAGAGGAACCAACCCACACGAAAGTCAATGTGGTTACAGAGGAACTAACCTCACTGAAGTTCTGTGGTCCCAGATGAACCAACCACCTGAAAGTCAATGTGGTTACAGAGGAACTAACCTCACCAGAAGTTCTATGTGGTCCCAGAGGAACCAACCCACGAAAGTCAATGTGGTTACAGAGGAACTAACCTCACTGAAGTTCTATGTGGTCCCAGAGGAACCAACCCGAAACATGTGGTTAAGAGGTCACTGAAGTTCTATGTGGTCCCAGATGGAATTACAGAGGAACCTAACCTCACTGAAAGTTCTATGTGGTCCCAGAGGAACCAACCTCCACGAAAGTCAATGTGGTTACAGAGGAACTAACCTCACTGAAGTTCTATGTGGTCCCAGAGGAACCAACCTCCACGAAAGTCAATGTGGTTACAGAGGAACTAACCTCACTGAAGTTCTATGTGGTCCCAGAGGAACCAACCTCCACGAAAGTCAATGTGGTTACAGAGGAACCAAACTCACTGAAGTTCTATGTGGTCCCAGAGGGAACCAACCTACACGAAAGTCAATGTGGTTACAGAGGAACTAACCTCACTGAAGTTCTATGTGGTCCCAGAGGAACCAACCTCACGAAAGTCAATGTGGTTACAGAGGAACTAACCTCACTGAAGTTCTATGTGGTCCCAGAGGAACCAACCTACACTGAAAGTCAATGTGGTTACAGAGGAACTAACCTCACTGAAGTTCTATGTGGTCCCAGAGGAACCAACCTCCCCGAAAGTCAATGTGGTTACAGAGGAACTAACCTCACTGAAGTTCTATGTGGTCCCAGAGGAACCAACCTCACTGAAATTCTATGTGGTCCCAGAGGAAACCAACACATGAAAGTCAATGTGGTTTACAGAGGAACTAACCTCACTGAAGTTCTATGTGGTCCCAGAGGAACCAACCTACACGAAAGTCAATGTGGTTACAGAGGAACTAACCTCACTGAAGTTCTATGTGGTCCCAGAGGAACCAACCTACGAAAGTCAATGTGGTTACAGAGGAACTAACCTCACTGAAGTTCTATGGGTCCCAGAGGAACCAACCTCCACGAAAGTCAATGTGGTTACAGAGGAACTAACCTCACTGAAGTTCTATGTGGTCCCAGAGGAACCAACCTACACGAAAGTCAATTTACAGAGGAACCAACCTCACTGAAGTTCTATGTGGTCCCAGAGGAACCAACCTCCACGAAAGTCAATGTGGTTACAGAGGAACTAACCTCACTGAAGTTCTATGGTCCCAGGTCCCCATGAAAGTCAGTGGTTACAGAACCAACCTGAAGTTCTATGTGGTCCCAGAGGAACCAACCTCCCGAATGTCAATGGTTACAGAGGAACTAACCTCACTGAAGTTCTATGTGGTCCCAGAGGAACCAACCTCCACGAAAGTCAATGTGGTTACAGAGGAACTAACCTCACTGAAGTTCTATGTGGTCCCAGAGGAACCAACCTACACGAAAGTCAATGTGGTTACAGAGGAACTAACCTCACTGAAGTTCTATGTGGTCCCAGAGGAACCAACCTCCTATGGTCCCGAAAAGTCAATGTGGTTACAGAGGAACTAACCTCACTGAAGTTCTATGTGGTCCCAGAGGAACCAACCTCACACGTGGTCAACATGCTTACAGAGGAACTAACCTCACTGAAGTTCTATGTGGTCCCAGAGGAACCAACCTACACGAAAGTCAATGTGGTTACAGAGGAAACCTCACTGAAATTCTATGTGGTCCCAGAGGAACCAACCTACACGAAAGTCAATGTGGTTACAGAGGAACTAACCTCACTGAAGTTCTAGTGGTTCTATGTGGTCCCAGAGGAACCAACCTATGGTCCCAGAGGAACCAAGTCAATGTGGTTACAGAGGAACCAACCTCACTGAAGTTCTATGTGGTCCCAGAGGAACCAACCTCCACGAAAGTCAATGTGGTTACACAGGGGAACTAACCTCACTGAAGTTCTATGTGGTCCCAGAGGAACCAACCACACGAAAGAACCAGAGGAACTAACCTCACTGAAATTCTATGTGGTCCCAGAGGAAACCAGCCTCCCCGAATGTCAATGTGTTTACAGAGGAACTAACCTCACTGAAGTTCTATGTGGTCCCAGAGGAACCAACCCACACGAAAGTCAATGTGGTTACAGAGGAACCAACCTCACTGAAGTTCTATGTGGTCCCAGAGGAACCAACCGAATGTCACGAGGAAAAGTCAATGTGTCCCAGAGGAACCAACCTACCCGAAGGAACTTAACCTCACTGAAGTTCTATGTGGTCCCAGATGAACCAACCTCCCCTGACCAATGTGGTTACAGAGGAACTAACCTCACTGAAGTTCTATGTGGTCCCAGAGGAACCAACCTCCGAACGTCAGTGTGGTTACAGATGAAGTTCTATGTGGTCCCAGAGGAACCAACCTACACGAAAGTCAATGTGGTTACAGAGGAACCAGTTCTGAAGTTCTGTGGTCCCAGAGGAACCAACCTACACGAAAGTCAATGTGGTTACAGAGGAACCAACCTCACTGAAGTTCTATGTGGTCCCAGAGGAACCAACCTCCCGAAAGTCAATGTGGTTACAGAGGAACCAACCTCACTGAAGTTCTATGTGGTCCCAGAGGAACCAACCTCACACGAAAATGTGGTCCCGTTACAGAGGAACTAACCTCACTGAAATGTGGTCCCAGAGGAACCAACCTACACGAAAGTCAATGTGGTTACAGAGGAACTAACCTCACTGAAGTTCTATGTGGTCCCAGGAACCAAGAAAGTCAACCAACTAACCTCACTGAAGTTCTATGTGGTCAGAGGAAATGTGAAAGTTGGTTACAGAGGAACTAACCTCACTGAAGTTCTATGTGGTCCCAGAGGAACCAACCTACACGAATGTCAATGTGGTTTACAGAGGAACTAACCTCACTGAAGTTCTATGTGGTCCCCAGATGAACCAACCTCCACGAAAGTCAATGTGATTTACAGAGGAACCAACCATTGAAGTTCTATGTGGTCCCAGAGGAAACCAACCTACACGAAAGTCAATGTGGTTACAGAGGAACTAACCTCACTGAAGTTCTATGTGGTCCCAGAGGAACCAACCTACACGAAAGTCAATGTGGTTACAGAAGAACTAACCTCACTGAAAGTTCTATGTGGTCCCAGAGGAACCAACCACACGAAAGTCAATGTGGTTACAGAGAACTAACCTCACTGAAGTTCTATGTGGTCCCAGAGGAACCAACCTCCCCGAATGTCAATGTGGTTACAGAGGAACTAACCTCACTTGAGTTCTATGTGGTCCCCAGAGGAACCAACCTACACGAAAGTCAATGTGGTTACAAGAGGAACTAACCTCACTGAAGTTCTATGTGGTCCCAGATGAACCAACCTCCCCGAAAGTCAATGTGGTTACAGAGGAACTAACCTCACTGAAGTTCTATGTGGTCCCAGAGGAACCAACCTACACGAAAAGTCAATGTGGTTACAGAGGAACTAACCTCACTGAAGTTCTATGTGGTCCCAGAGGAACCAACCTCCCCGAAAGTCAATGGTTACAGAGGAACTAACCTCTCACTATGCTTACCCAGAGGAACAACCTCACTGTGGTTCTATGTGTCCCCAGTTCCCAGAGGAACCAACCTCACTGAAATGTGGTCTATGTGGTCCCAGACAGAACCAACCTCACTGAAAGTTCGAATGTATGTGGTCCCAGAGGAACCAACCTCACTGAAATTCTATGTGGTCCCAGAGGAACCAACCTACACGAAAGTCAATGTGGTTACAGAGGAACTAACCTCACTGAAATTCTATGTGGTCCCAGAGGAACCAACCTCCACGAAAGTCAATGTGGTTACAGAGAACTAACCTCACTGAAGTTCTATGTGGTCCCAGAGGAACCAACCTACACGAAAGTCAATGTGGTTACAGAGAACCAACCTCACTGAAGTTCTGTGGTCCCAGAGGAACCAACCTACCCGAAAGTCAATGTGGTTACAGAGGAACTAACCTCACTGAAGTTCTATGTGGTCCCAGAGGAACCAACCTACACGAAAGTCAATGTGGTTACAGAGGAACTAACCTCACTGAAGTTCTATGTGGTCCCAGAGGAACCAACCTCACACGAAAGTCAATGTGGTTACAGAGGAACTAACTCACTGAAATGGTCCCAGAGGAACCAACCTACACGAAAGTCAATGTGGTTACAGAGGAACTAACCTCACTGAAGTTCTATGTGGTCCCAGAGGAACCAACCTACACGAAAGTCAATGTGGTTACAGAGGAACTAACCTCACTGAAGTTCTATGTGGTCCCAGAGGAACCAACCTCCCCGAAAGTCAATGTGGTTACAGAGGAACCAACCTCACTGAAGTTCTATGTGGTCCCAGAGGAACCAACCTCACTGAAATTCTATGTGGATTCCCCGAATGTCAACAGAGGAACCAACCTCACTGAAGTTCTATGTGGTCCCAGAGGAACCAACCTACACGAAAATCAATGTGGTTACAGAGGAACCAACCTCACTGATTCTATGTGGTCGAATGTCAATGTACAGAGGGTCCCAGAGAGGAACCAACCTACACGAAAGTCAATGTGGTTACAGAGGAACTAACCTCACTGAAGTTCTATGTGGTCCCAGAGGAACCAACCTCCCCGAAAGTCAATGTGCTTACAGAACTAACCTCACTGAAGTTCTATGGTCCCAGAGGACAACCAACCCACACGAAAGTCAAGAACTAACCTCACTGAAGTTCTTGTGGTCCAGAGGAACCAACCTCCCCGAAAGTCAATGTGGTCCCAGAGGAACCAACCTCACTGAAGTTCTATGTGGTCCCAGAGGAACAACCTACACGAAACCTGTGAAAGTTCTATGTGGTCCCAGAGGAACCAACCTCACTGAAGTTCTATGTGGGTCCCAGAGGAACCAACCTCCTGAATGTCAATGTGGTTACAGAGGAACTGAAACTATGGTCCCTCGAAACTGCTTACAGAGGTTCTGAATGTGGTCCCAGAAGAACCAACCTACACGAAAGTCAATGTGGTTACGGAGGAGCCAACCTCACTGAAATTCTATGTGGTCCCAGAGGAACCAACCTCCCCGAAAGTCAATGTGCTTACAGAGGAACTAACCTCACTGAAGTTCTATGTGGTCCCAGAGGAACCAACCTACACGAAAGTCAATGTGGTTACAGAGGAACTAACCTCACTGAAATTCTATGTGGTCCCAGAGGAACCAACCTCCCCGAAAGTCAATGTGCTTACAGAGGAACTAACCTCACTGAAGTTCTATGTGGTCCCAGAGGAACCAACCTCCACGAAAGTCAATGTGGTTACAGAGGAACCAACCTCACTGAAGTTCTCTATGTGGTCCCAGAGGAACCAACCTCCTTACGAAAGTCAATGGGTCCCAGAGGTGGAATTACAGAGGAACTAACCCTCACTGAAAGTTCTATGTGGTCCCAGAGGAACCAACCTACACGAAAGTCAATGTGGTTACAGAGGAACTAACCTCACTGAAGTTCTATGTGGTCCCAGAGGAACCAACCTCACTGAATGTCAATGGTTACAGAGGAACTAACCTCACTGAAGTTCTATGTGGTCCCAGAGGAACCAACCTATAGAGAGAGGAACTAACCTCACTGAAGTTCTATGTGGTCCCAAGAACCAACATATACACGAAAGTCAATGTGGTTACAGAGGAACTAACCTCACTGAATGTCAATGTGGGTCCCAGAAGAACCAACCTACACGAATGTCACTTACAGTTATGTGGTCCCAGAGGAACCAACCTACACGAAAGTCAATGTGGTTACAGAGGAACTAACCTCACTGAAGTTCTATGTGGTCCCAGAGGAACCAACCTCCACGAATGTCATCAGAGGAACTCGTGCTTGGTCCCAGAGGAACCAACCCACACGAACCTCATGTGGTTACAGAGGAACTAACCCACTGAAGTTCTATGGTCCCAGAGAACCAACCTCCCACGAAATGTCAATGTGCTTACAGAGGAACCAACCTCACTGAAGTTCTATGTGGTCCCAGATGAACCAACCTCCCCGAAAGTCAATGTGGTTACAGAGGAACCAACCTCACTGAAGTTCTATGGTCCCAGAGGAACCAACCTACACGAAAGTCAATGTGGTTACAGAGGAACTAACCTCACTGAAATTCTATGTGGGTCCCAGAGAAAACCAACCTCACTGAAGTTCTATGTGGTCCCAGAGGAACCAACCCACACGAAAGTCAATGTGGTTACAGGAGGAACCAACCTCACTGAAGTTCTATGTGGTCCCAGAGGAAACCAACCTCACGAAAGTCAATGTCAATGTTACAGAGAACTAACCTCACTGAAGTTCTATGGTGGTCCCAGAGGAACTAACCTCACTGACCATGTGGTCCCAGAGGAACCAACCTCCACGAAAGTCAATGTGGTTACAGGAACTAACCTCACTGAAGTTCTATGTGGTCCCAGAGGAACCAACCTACACGAAAGTCAATGTGGTTACAGAGGAACTAACCTCACTGAAATTCTATGTGGTCCCAGAGGAACCAACCTCCCACGAAAGTCAATGTGGTTACAGAGGAACCAACCTCACTGAAATTCTATGTGGTCCCAGAGGAACCAACCTGAAAACACGAAAGTCAATGTGGTTACAGAGGAACCAACCTCACTGAAGTTCTATGTGGTCCCAGAGGAACCAACCTCCACGAAAGTCAATGTGGTTACAGAGGAACTAACCTCACTGAAGTTCTATGTGGTCCCAGAGGAACCAACCTACACGAAAGTCAATGTGGTTACAGAGAACTAACCTCACTGAAGTTCTATGTGGTCCCCAGAGGAACCAACCTACACGAAAGTCAATGTGGTTACAGAGGAACCAACCTCACTGAAATTCTATGTGGTCCCAGAGGAACCAACCTCCCACGAAAGTCAATGTGGTTACAGAGGAACCAACCTCACTGAAGTTCTATGTGGTCCCAGAGGAACCAACCTACACGAAAGTCAATGTGGTTACAGAGGAACTAACCTCACTGAAGTTCTATGTGGTCCCAGAGGAACCAACCTACCCGAAAGTCAATGTGGTTACAGAGGAACTAACCTCACTGAAGTTCTATGTGGTCCCAGAGGAACCAACCACACGAAAGTCAATGTGGTTACAGAGGAACTAACCTCACTGAAGTTCTATGTGTGGTCCCAGAGGGAAACCAACCCCAGAGGAACCACGAAAGTCAATGTGGTTACAGAGGAACTAACCTCACTGAAGTTCTATGTGGTCCCAGAGGAACCAACCTACCCGAAAGTCAATGTGGTTACAGAGGAACCAACCTCACTGAGTCAATGTGGTCCCAGAGAACCAACCTCACTGAAAGTCAATGGTCCCAGAGGAACTTCCAACCTACGGGGAATGAAAGCACAAAGTGGTTGGATACAGAGGAACTAACCTCACTGAAATTCTATGTGGTCCCAGAGGAACCAACCTCCCCGAATGTCAATGTGCTTACAGAGGAACTAACCTCACTGAAGTTCTATGTGGTCCCAGAGGAACCAACCTACACGAAAGTCAATGTGGTTACAGAGGAACTAACCTCACTGAAATTCTATGTGGTCCCAGAGGAACCAACCTACACGAAAGTCAATGTGGTTACAGAGGAACTAACCTCACTGAAATTCTATGTGGTCCCAGAGGAACCAACCTACACGAAAGTCAATGTGGTTACAGAGACTAACCTCACTGAAGTTCTATGTGGTCCCAGAGGAACCAACCTGAAAGAAAGTCAATGGGTGGTACAGAGGAACCAACCTCACTGAAGTTCTATGTGGTCCCAGAGGAACCAACCTACACGAAAGTCAATGTGGTTACAGAGGAACTAACCTCACTGAAGTTCTATGTGGTCCCAGAGGAACCAAGGTCCCAGGAATGTCAAGTGGTTACAGAGGAACTAACCTCACTGAAGTTCTTTGTGGTCCCAGAGGAACCAAACCACACGAAAGTCAATGTGGTTGACTAACCTCACTGAAATTCTATGTGGTCCCAGAGGAACCAACCTCCCGGAAAGTCAATGTGGTTACAGAGGAACTAACCTCACTAGTTCTATGTGGTCCCAGAGGAACCAACCTACACGAAAGTCAATGTGGTTACAGAGGAACTAACCTCACTGAAGTTCTATGGTCCCAGAGGAACCAACCTCCAATGTGGTTGAAAGTCAATGGTGTGGTCCCAGAGGAACTAACCTCACTGAAGTTCTATGTGGTCCCAGAGGAAACCAACTCCTGAAAGTCAATGTGCTTACAGAGGAACTAACCTCACTGAAATTCTATGTGGTCCCAGAGGAACCAACCTCCCCGAATGTCAATGTGCTTACAGAGGAACTAACCTCACTGAAGTTCTATGTGGTCCCAGATGAACCAACCTCCACGAATGTCAATGGGTTACAGAGGAACTAACCTCCTGGAAGTTCTATGTGGTCCCAGAGGAAACCAACCTACACGAAAGTCAATGTGGTTACAGAGGAACTAACCTCACTGAAAGTTCTATGGTGGTCCCAGAGGAACCAACCTCACTGAAGTTCTTTGTGGTCCCAAACAACCTACATGAAAATGTGGTTACAGAGGAACTAACCTCACTGAAGTTCTATGTGGTCCCAGAGGAACCAACCTACACGAAAGTCAATGTTACAGAGGAACTAACCTCACTGAAATTCTATGTGGTCCCAGAGGAACCAACCTACACTGAACCTTCTGAAAATGTGGTCCCAGAGGAACCAACCCACACGAAAGTCAATGTGGTTACAGAGGAACTAACCTCACTGAAGTTCTATGTGGTCCCAGAGGAACCAACCTCCCCGAAAGTCAACAACTTACAGAGGAACTAACCTCACTGAAGTTCTATGTGGTCCCAGATGAACCAACCTACACGAAAGTCAATGTGGTTAGAGGAGAACTAACCTCACTGAAGTTCTATGTGGTCCCAGAGGAACCAACCTCCACGAAAGTCAATGTGGTTACAGAGGAACTAACCTCACTGAAGTTCTATGTGGTCCCAGAGGAACCAACCCAGAGAACCAAAGTCAATGTGGTTACAGAGGAACTAACCTCACTGAAGTTCTATGTGGTCCCAGAGGAACCAACCACCCCGAATGTCAATGTGGTTACAGAGGAACCAACCCTCACTGAAGTTCTATGTGGTCCCCAGATGAACCAACCCACACGAAAGTCAATGTGGTTCCCAGAGGAACTAACCTCACTGAAATTCTATGTGGTCCCAGATGAACCAACCTCCCCGAATGTCAATGTGCTTACAGAGGAACTAACCTCACTGAAGTTCTATGTGGTCCCAGAGGAACCAACCTACACGAATGTCAATGTGCTTACAGAGGAACTAACCTCACTGAAATTCTATGGTCCCAGAGGAACCAACCTCTGAAAGTCAGTAATGGATTTACAGAGGAACTAACCTCACTGAAGTTCTATGTGGTCCCAGATGAACCAACTTCCCCGAAAGTCAATGTGTTACAGAGGGAACCAACCTCACTGACCTCTATGTGGTCCGGAACCAAATGAAGTCAATGGTTATGGAGGAACCAACCTCACTGAAATTCTATGTGGTCCCAGAGGAACCAACCCACCCCGAATGTCAATGTGGTTACAGAGGAACCTCACTGAAGTTCTATGTGGTCCCAGATGAACCAACCTCCCGAAAGTCAATGTGGTTACAGAGGAACCAACCTCACTGAAGTTCTATGTGGTCCCAGAGGAACCAACCTACACGAAAGTCAATGTGTTTACAGAGGAACTAACCTCACTGAAATTCTATGTGGTCCCAGAGGAACCAAACCTCCCCTGAATGTCAATGTGGTTACAGAGGAACCAACCTCACTGAAGTTCTATGTGGTCCCAGAGGAACCAACCTACACGAAAGTCAATGTGGTTACAGAGGAACTAACCTCACTGAAGTTCTATGTGGTCCCAGAGGAACCAACCTCACACACAATGTGTGGTTACAGAGGAACCAACCTCACTGAAGTTCTCAGTGGTCCCAGAACCAACCTACACGAATGTCAATGTGGTTACAGAGGAACTAACCTCACTGAAGTTCTATGTGGTCCCAGATGAACCAACCTCCACGAATGTCAATGTGGTTTACAGAGGAACTAACCTCACTGAAGTTCTATGTGGTCCCAGAGGAACCAACCTACACGAAAGTCAATGGGTTTACAGAGGAACTAACCTCACTGAAGTTCTATGTGGTCCAGAGGAACCAACCTCACGAAAGTCAATGTGGTTACAGAGGAACTAACCTCACTGAAGTTCTATGTGGTCCCAGAGGAACCAACCCACACGAAAGTCAATGTGTTTACAGAGGAACTAACCTCACTGAAATTCTTTGTGGTCCCAGAGGAACCAACCTCCCACGAAAGTCAATGTGGTTACAGAGAACTAACCTCACTGAAGTTCTATGTGGTCCCAGAGGAACCAACCTCCCACGAAAGTCAATATTGGTTACAGAGGAACTAACCTCACTGAGAGTTCCATGTGGTCCCAGAGGAACCAACCTACACGAAAGTCAATGTGGTTACAGAGGAACTAACCTCACTGAAGTTCTATGTGGTCCCAGAGGAACCAACCTCCCCGCAGAGGATGTCAATGTGGTCCCAGAGGAACTAACCTCACTGAAGTTCTATGTGGTCCCAGATGAACCAACCCACACGAAAGTCAATGTGGTTACAGAGGAGGAACTGAGGAACCAACCTCCCCGAAACCTAACCTCCACTGAAGTTCTATGTGGTCCCAGAGGAACCAACCTACACGAAAGTCAATGTGGTTACAGAGGAACTAACCTCACTGAAGTTCTATGTGGTCCCCAGAGGAACCAACCCACACGAAAGTCAATGTGGTTATGTGGTCCCAGAGGAACTAACCTCACTGAAACTTCTATGTGGTCCCAGAGGAACCAACCTCCCCGAAAGTCAATGTGTTTACAGAGGAACTAACCTCACAAGTTCTATGTGGTCCCAGAGAACCAACCGAAGTCAATGTGGTTACAGAGGAACTAACCTCACTGAAGTTCTATGTGGTCCCAGAGGAACCAACCTACACGAAAGTCAATGTGGTTACAGAGGAACTAACCTCCCCTGGAAATTCTATGTGGTCCCAGAGGAACCAACCTCCCCGAAAGTCAATGTGGTTACAGAGGAACTAACCTCACTGAAGTTCTATGTGGTCCCAGAGAAACCAACCTCCACGAATGTCAATGTGGTTACAGAGAAACTAACCTCACTGAAGTTCTATGTGGTCCCCCAGAGAACCAACCTACACTGAAGTCAACAATGTGGTTACCAGAGGAACTAACCTCACTGAAGTTCTATGTGGTCCCAGAGGAACCAACCTCACTGAAAGTCAATGTGCTTACAGAGGAACCAACCTCACTGAAGTTCTATGTGGTCCCAGAGGGACCAACCCACACGAAAGTCCAGAGGAACTAACCTCACTGAAGTTCTATGGTCCCAGAGGAACCAACCTCCCCGAAAGTCAATGTGGTTACAGAGGAACTAACCTCACTGAAGTTCTATGTGGTCCCAGAGGAACCAACCTACACGAAAAAGTCAATGTGGTTGAGGAACTAACCTCACTGAAATTCTATGTGGTCCCAGATAGGTCCTGAAATTCTATATCCCTGAGGAACCAACCTACACGAAAGTCAATGTAGTTTACAGGAACTAACCTCACTGAAATTCTATGTGGTCCCAGAGGAACCAACCTACACGAATGAAAGTCAATGTGGTTACAGAGGAACTAACCTCACTGAAGTTCTATGTGGTCCCAGAGGAACCAACCTACATTTAGAAAGTCAATGTGAAATTTGGTCCAGAGGAACCAACCTCACTGAAATTCTATGTGGTCCCAGAGGAACCAACCTCACTGAAAGTCAATGTGGTTACAGAGGAACCAACCTCACTGAAGTTCTATGTGGGTCCCAGAGGAACCAACCTCCACGAAAGTCAATGTGTTTACAGAGGAACCAACCTCACTGAAGTTCTATGTGGTCCCAGAGGAACCAACCTACACGAAAGTCAATGTGGTTACAGAGGAACTAACCTCTGAAATTCTATGTGGTCCCAGAGGAACCAACCTACCGAAAGTCAATGTGGTTACAGAGGAACCTCAACCTCACTGAAGTTCTTTGTGGTCCCAGAGGAACCAACCTCCCCGAAAGTCAATGTGGTGACAGAGGAACTAACCTCACTGAAGTTCTATGGTCCCAGAGGAACCAACCTACACTGAAGTTTCAATGTGGTTACAGAGAACTAACCTCACTGAAGTTCTATGTGGTCCCAGAGGAACCAACCTCCCTGAAAGTCAATGTGGTTGCAGAGGAACCAACCTCACTGAAATTCTATGTGGTCCCAGAGGAACCAACCTCCACTGAATTTCTATGTGGTCCCAGAGGAACCAACCTCACGTCTACAAGTTGAATTTCTAAGGTGGTCCCAGAGGAACCAACCTACATGAAAGTCAATGTGGTTACATGGAGGAACCAACCTCACTGAAATTCTATGTGGTCCCAGAGGAAACCAACCTCCCCGAAAGTCAATGTGTTACAGAGGAACTAACCTCACTGAAGTTCTATGTGGTCCCAGAGGAAACCAACCTACACGAAAGTCAATGTAGTTACAGAAGAACTAACCTCACTGAAATTCCCCAGATGGTCCCAGATGGAACCAACCCCAGAGGAACCAACTGAAACCTTCTGAAATTCTATGTGGTCCCAGAGGAACCAACCTACACGAAAGTCAATGTGGTTACGGATGAACTAACCTCACTGAAGTTCTATGTGGTCCCAGAGGAACCAACCTCCCTGGAAAGTCAATGTGGTTACAGAGGAACTAACCTCACTGAAGTTCTATGTGGTCCCAGAGGAACCAACCTACACCAATGTGGTTACAGAGGAACTGAACTCACCGAGTTCTATGGGTCCCAGAGGAACCAACCTACACTGAAAAGTCATGTGTGGTTACAGAGGAACTAACCTCACTGAAATTCTATGTGGTCCCAGAGGAACCAACCTACACGAATGTCAATGTGGTTACAGAGGAACTAACCTCACTGAAAGTTCTATGTGGTCCCAGAGGAACCAACCTACACGAAAGTCAATGTGGCGAGAGGAACTAACCTCACTGAAAGTTCTATGTGGAACCTCCACGAAGTCCAATGTGGAAGAGGAACCCTCACTGAAGTTCTATGTGGTCCCAGAGGAACCAACCTACACGAAAGTCAATGTGGTTACAGAGGAACTAACTTCACTGAAATTCTATGTGGTCCCAGAGGAACCAACCTGAAAGTCAATGTGTGGTTACAGAGGAACTAACTCACTGAAGTTCTATGTGGTTACCAGGAGTACCAAACTAACCTCACTGTGGTTCTATGTGGTCCCAGAGGAACCAACCTCCTGAAAGTCAATGGTTACAGAGGAACTAACCTCACTGAAGTTCTATGTGGTCCCCAGAGGAACCAACCACACAGAGGAACCAATCACTGAATTTTATGGGTCCCAGAGGAACCAACCTGAAATTCTATGTGGTCCCAGATGAACCAACCTCACGAAAGTCAATGTGGTCCCAGAGGAACCAACCTCACACGAAGTTCTATGGAGGAACCAACTCACTGAACCTCTATGTCCCAGAGGAACCAACCCACACGAGGAAAGTCAATGGGGTTACAGAGGAACTAACTCACTGAAGTTCTATGTGGTCCCAGAAGAACCAACCTACATGAAAGTCAATGTGGTTACAGAGGAACCAACTCACTAAATTTCTATGTGGTCCCAGAGGAACCAACCTACACGAAAGTCAATGTGGTTACAGAGGAGCCAACTCACTGAAGTTCTATGTGGTCCCAGAGGAACCAACCTCCCGAAAGTCAATGTGGTTACAGAGAACCAACCTCCACTGTTCTATGTGGTCCCAGAGGAACCAACCTACACGAAAGTCAATGTGGTTACAGAGGAATCTAACCTCACTGAAGTTCTATGTGGTCCCAGAGGAACCAACCTCCCCGGAAAGTCAATGTGGTTACAGAGGAACTAACCTCCACTGAAGTTCTATGGTCCCAGAGGTCCAGAGGAACCAACCCACACGAAAAGTCAATGTGGTTACAGAGGAACCAACCCTCACTGAAGTTCTATGTGTCCCAGAGGAACCAACCTACATGAAAGTCAATGAAAGAACCAACCACTGACTCTATGTGGTTACAGAGGAACCAACTCACTGAAGTTCTATGGGTCCCAGAGGAACCAACCTACACGAAAGTCAATGTGGTCACAGAGGAACCAACCTCACTGAAGTTCTATGTGGTCCCAGAGAAACAAATCCACACGAATGTCAAATGATTACAGAGGAACTAACTCACTGAAGTTCATGTGGTCCCAGAGGAACCAACCCACACGAAAGTCAATATGAGAGGAACACTAACCTCACTGACCCCTGAAAGTCAATGTGGTCCCAGAGGAACCAACCTACATTGAAGTTTCAATTAATGTGGTCCCAGAGTCCCAGAGGAAACCAACCTACACGAAAGTCAATGGTTACAGAGGAACTCAACCTTCACTGAAGTTCTATGTGGTCCCAGAGGAACCAACTCTACACGAAAGTCAATGTGGTTACAGAGGAACTAACCTCACTGAATTCTATGTGGTCCCAGAGGAACCAACATCCCACGAATGTCAATGGTTACAGAGGAACTAACCTCACTGAAGTTCTATGTGGTCCCAGATGAACCAACCTGTACGAAAGTCAATGTGATTTACAGAGGAAACTAACCTCACTGAAGTTCTATGTGGTCCCAGAGGAACGAACCAACACGAAAGTCACCGGTTACAGAGGAACTAACCTCACTGAAGTTCTATGGTCCCAGAGAAACAACCACACGAAAATCCAATGTGGTTACAGAGGAACTAACCTCACTGAAGTTCTATGTGGTCCCAGAGGAACCAACCTCCCTGAATGTCAATGTGGTTACAGAGGAACTAACCTCACTGAAGTTCTTTGTGGTCCCAGAGAAACCAACCTCCCCGAAAGTCAATGTGGTTACAGAGGAACTAACCTCACTGAAAAGTTCCCTATGTGAAAGTCAATGTGGTTACAGAGGAACCAAATGAGGAACCAATCCTGAAGTTCTATGTATCCCACGAAAATCAATGAAAGGTTACAGAGGAACTAAACTCACTGAAGTTCTAAGTGTGGGTCCCAGAGGAACCAACCTACACGAAAGTCAATGTGGTTACAGAGGAACTAACCCACTGAAGTTCTATGTGGTCCCAGAGGAACCAACCTCCTGAAAGTCAATGTGGTTACAGAGGAACTAACTCACTGAAGTTCTATGTGGTCCCAGAGGAACCAACCTACACGAAAGTCAATCGTGTTTACAGAGGACCCTAACCTCACTGAAGTTCTATGTGGTCCCAGAGGAACCAACCCCTGAATGTCAATGTAGATTTTACAGAGGAACTAACTCACTGAAGTTTTATGTGGTCCCAGAGGAACCAACCTACACGAAAGTCAGAGGAATGAACCCACTGGTTACAGAGGAACCAACCTCGAACTGCTTACAGAGGAACTAACTTCTATGTGGTCCCAGAGGAACCAAATCCTCCCTGAAAGTCAATGTGATTTACAGAGAACTAACCTCACTGAAGTTTTATGTGGTCCAAGAGAACCAACCCACACGAAAGTCAATGTGGTTACGGATGAGCCAACCTCACTGAAATTCTATGTGGTCCCAGAGGAAACAACCTCCCCGAAAGTCAATGTGCTTACAGAGGAACTAACCTCACTGAAGTTTTATGTGGTCCCAGAGGAACCAACCTACACGAAATTCAATGTGGTTACAGAGGAACTAACCTCACTGAAGTTCTATGTGGTCCCAGAGGAACCAACCTAACTACGTGAAGATGAACCAATGTGGTTACAGAAGAGAACTAACCTCACTGAAGTTCTATGTGGTCCCAGAGGAACCAACCTCACGAATGTCAATGTGCTTACAGAGGAACTAACCTCACTGAAGTTCTATGTGGTCCCCAGAGGAACCAACACGAAAGTCAATGTGATTTACAGAGAAACCTCACTGAAGTTCTATGTGGTCCCAGAGGAACCAACCTACACGAAGTCAATGTGGTTACAGAGGAACTAACCCTCACTGAAGTTC